AGAGAGAGAGAGAGAGAGAGAGAGAGAGAGAGAGAGAGAGAGAGAGAGAGAGAGAGAGAGAGAGAGAGAGAGAGAGAGAGAGAGAGCACCTGAGTTTGCTGGGCTCATGGCCATAGCTGCCTGTACTTGATGTTCGGACTATTGCAACGATTTCGAGTTTCTGCTGATATCTCCCTCATTGCTTTGATGTGCGAGTGTCCTGTGAGCTTTGGGTGCTCGTATGATAGTGAAGTGTGAGTCAAATTGAGTGGGAGCATTGCACATATATGTAGCTTCATTAAAGTTCTGAGGTTACTTGGTCTGTGTTTTCTTCCGTCTGCTCATAAAATGGGACTGTTGGATGTGTGTTCAGCAATCTTGCAGACCTTTTGATCCCTAGTGGAACTTCTATCACCGAACTTCTGTTTTGCATCGCAATCATTATAACAGGCTTGCTGATGTTTGCCTTGCTGGTTGGAAACATGCAGGTATGTTGAATCAGTCGAAGCCTTGTTCCGTGCATTGGCCTGAACTCCTACATTTCCTCCCAACATCCTTCTTTCTCTCTGATCCTTCTTTTCCCTCATTCTTCAAACTTCCTCTCTCCCTTCTTCTGCACTTACGTCCATGCGTTCTCTGACCGTTTTCTCCAGCCCTCGGAAAAAAATAACACGAACATCTTGTGACCTGCTCCCTCACCTCCGAACCTTCCCCGGGCCATTCTCCTAAGTTCCTGAACTCATCTCCATAACTCCTCTATCGCCTCCTCTGTGCCTCGCATCGTTCCAATCTTCTCCCTTGCCTTCTCCAGTCTCCTCTCTCCACATCTCATATGAACCTCTGTGGACGTTTCTCTCTGCATGTTCTCTCAGGTTCTTCCTCTCCCAGCTTCCCCTCTTGCCCCCTCTCCTAACTCACTTAGTTTATCCACACCTCCTTGCTTCGCACTGAATCCACACCTCCTTGCGTCCCACTGAAATTCCATCTGTGCATTTTCCGAATCTCCTGCCGATCCTCTCTCCTCACTCGAAACCTCTCCCCATGTCTACTGTGAGCCTCCCTTTCTGAGTTCTCAAACTTTCCCTGGCCCTTCTCTAAACCTTGCTC